TGGCAGGCGCCTGTAGTCCCAGCTACTTGGGAGGCTGAGGCAAGAGAACAGCTTATGCCCAGGAGTCTGAGGCTGCTGTGAGTTGTGATGCTGCAGCACTCTACCCAGGGTGACAGCTTGTGACTCTGTCTCAAGAAAACAAACAAACAAAAATGCTGTTTGTGGCTGGGCACACTGGCTCACACCTGTAATCCTAGCACTCTGGGAGGCCGACACAGGTGGACTACCTGAGCTCACAGGTTCAAGTCCAGCCTGAGTAAGTGTGAGACCCGGTCTCTTTAATAATAGAAAAACTGAGGCAAGAGGATTGCTTGAGCCCAAGAGTTTGAGGTTGCTGTGAGCTATGACATCACAGCACTCTACCCAGGGCAACAGCTTGAGACTGTCTCAAAAAAAAAAAAAAAAAAAAAGAAAAATTGCTGCTTGTGGTCAGGCATGGTGGCTCACACTTATAATCCTAGTACTCTGGGAGGCCAAGATGGGAGAATCATTCGAGCTCAGGAGCTTGAGACAAACCTGAACAAAAGTAAGACCCTGTCTCAACTAAAAACAGACAAATTAGCAGTTCATAGTAGCAGACACCTATAATCCCAGAGGTGTGAGGCAGGAGGATCTCTTGAGCCCAGTAGTTTTAGCTTGCAGTGAGCTAAGATGGTACTCTAGCCAGAGCAACACAGCAAGATTCTGTCTTGGGGGGCAAAAAAAAAGATGTTGCTTGCAAACCTATTAAACTGATTCCGCAATCTGTAATTGAAAATTGTGTATCAAGTGCTCCTTAAAACCCTTCCCCCACCCCCAGGGGCAAGCAGTGCTACTCACCAGGTTCATGGCCTGCAAAGGAAAGCAGAAGGGTGGATTAGAAGGATGCACATGAGGGCTCTATGGCTTGGGGATGTGTCTTTGCCTGTCTCCACCCAGCGTTCACCTGGCTTTAACTCCCAAGGAGCCCAAGGAAGCTGCTTAGAGGCAGCTGTGGATCCTCCCTATCCCCCTCAGAGGAAGTGGCTACTACTTGGGGGTCAAGCCCTGGAAAAAGGAGTATGAGGGAAGAACAAACTGGCACCCCGGGCCTATCTGTGTCTTATGGAGTGAGTTATAGGCATGGGAGCAGCTGTGGGCAGGGAGAAGAGCACACAGCCATCATGGGGCTGGATGAGGGCCCAGGTCATGACCCCCAGACTCTGAGGTCCTCAGCAGCAGAACAGCCAGGTCTGTAAGGAATTGCCATGCCCACTTCTATAACCCCTACAGCCAATGCCCCCCAGTGCTTCCTCCCTGCCCACCTAAAAGTCTCCACACAGTTAGTAAGCAGGACTCAGCGGAAGGAGAAAAAGAAAAATGGAGAAAATGAGAGGTAGGCCTTAGTGGCCCCCAGATGATCTCCCTTTCCCTCACTGTAGGGCTGGCTACCCCTCTGGGCTCCTCTTCAGTCTCCAGGGCCTATGGCCCTATGTACCCTGACAAGGTCCTTGGACTTGCTGCTGCCACCTGTGTTTCTGAGATCTCTTCATAGGCTCTTAGCCCTTCTCTGCCCAGGCTGGGGCCAAATAATAGCAACAGACCTGGGCCCAAGAGGGTGCTGGGCAGGACCAGCCTAGGTGGCAAGGGGGCCCATACCTTCAGCTTGGACTGAATCTCCCGAGATTTCCGCCTGGCTAGAACCTGCAAATGGCTAGAGACCTGCAGAGAGAAAGAGAAAGGAAGAGAAAAAGGAGAGCAGAAAGAGATGCAAGAACAGAGCTTCAGCCAGAAAAGAGGCACAGCGGGGCCAGAGAGCCAGCTAAGGCAGGGGCCTGAGCTGAGCAGAGATAGTGGTGGAGGTGCTGTGGGTAAGGGGCCCAGGAGGAGCTGGAAGCCCCAGTCAGGCACCCAACATACCTTGATGCCAACCTGGTACTCGCGCACCTTCTTCCGAGCTAGAACCTGTATGTGGCTGGACACCTAGGGGCCGCCCCATGTCCCGCCAGAGAGGAAAACACAGACAGTGAGGAGGCACAGCCACAAGGTGGCCACGGAAATAAGAGCATCCCAGCCTTCATCTCTGGGGGACCAATTATAAATGGGGGGAAATTTGGGGCCCCCCTGGGCAGACACCTTTGGCACTACCAATTCTGCTCTCTTCTTGGCCATGTCTTGCTCTAGAGCCTATAGTGGCTTCCAGGGCCACCACGTGCAGTTGTATAGGTTGTTCACTGCACAAGAGCACCTGGCCTAGAGGGTAAAGGTGAGAACTGAAATCCAGCCCAAGTTCTGCTGGCCAAGCTATATGGCCTGGGACAAGGCTGCTCTCAATCCAGAGGAAGGGCTTCTCTCCCCTCCCTTAAAGGATGTAACTCTTTTTCTCACTGGTGACATAAGAGATATCTTTTACTAGCTGGCACCACAGGGGCTAGCAGTGGCTATGTTCCCCCTGTTGGCCTTTAGGTTACAGAACAAGGGCACATCCTTGACCAAAGATCTTCCGATATATTACTATCTAGGTCCTCTGTCAAATGCAATATCAACCCCAGCCTATACAACTAGGCCTGGTCCTATTCCTGCTTTCCTTGTGCAGCTTCTTGCCCCAACACACCTTCCTTCTCCCGGGAAGGAAGACTAATTTATGCCTATATATATTTATGTACACAGTATGTGTTCTTAATTGCATTTCTTCTCCCTGAAGCCTCTATTGGCAAACCTGAGCTAATCATGGTCTGGACATGCATGCCCTGGGCTGTGTGCCCAGCTTGCACAACAGACCCTTGACATTGTCAAGGATCTGACCCCGAGACTCAGAAAACCCAAATGCCACTGTTTTTCTCCAGGAAACACCAGCAAACAACAGATCCTTGAGGCTACTTCACACTTTCAGTATCAGCAACTATTCTAGGCTTTCTTTGCAAGTTTTTTTTTTTTTTTTTAGACAGAGCCTCAAGCTATCCCCCTGGGTAGAGTGCCATGGCATCACAGCTCACAGCAACCTCCAACTCCTGGGCTCAAGCGAGT